TGTGAAGAAAATTAATGTAAGCTTTTTCAACCACATTCAACTATTACTCAAAAACTTTCCTGACTAGAGTTTGCAAAAAATTCATTGCTTGCCTGTCGCAACAGCTTGGAGCAGCCCAGCAAACAAATCATCAGCAAGAACTCTCTCTTTATTTTCTGTCTTTTGGGAGTTGCATTTGCTTCTGTCCAGGGAAATGTACTTTATGCATTTTTATATTCATTACTATAAAGAAATTATAGTATGCCTTTCTCCAGCAATTGGGACAATTTTGTTCAAAAAAACAAACGCCAGGTTATTATAATCATCATGGATTGCAGCAATAACCAACCAATGCCAAGAAAGTTAATCAAGTAGGAAAAGGATGAAATCCTACTACTCAGATGAAATCCATATCCAGAGATTTAGCTGAAAAAAGTAACCCAGAGACTAACAAATTCAGAGGTCAAAGGAAGTGAAATGCATAGTCCTAGGCCTTTGAAAGTAGTACCTTGTGCACCTCTCAGGAATCTCAGGAATTTCTGGATGATACTCTGGAAGAGAGAGGGCTTCCAAAGTAGGCAGATCCTCAACCACAACTTTATTTTAAAGTCTTAGTCCATGGGTTCAGCTGCCACCTACACAACATGGAACAGAAGTCAGTTACAGACCAGGCTGTTCTCAAGCAAAGCCAGCAGTGAAAAATGGGGAAAGGAACCAAAGAGCAGCACCTGCCTAGCATATATTTCGGCATGCACCTCCTTGTGAGGCCGCTTCAGCTCGTATAGTGTCTGCAGAAGGCACTGCAGTTGGCCAGACCTAGAGGGGAGGTCTATGGTGAAGCTGAGTTTAAAAGAAACACATCAAGCTATGAGCTCCAAAGGCTATTAGGATTTCCAATAGCAATCAAGGGGCCAAAATTACCTTGAGGCTGCACAAGGGAAGGGTGCAGGTCACAAGCAGATGGAGTCGCAGGCCTAGCTTTTGAGGCAGGTCTATGTGCTCAGGGAGCAGCCCCTAGTGGTGAATAAGGAGTCAAAGAAAACGTGTCCTTTGTGCAAGAGGAGTGAGCACCACGGATTAAAGGTTACACATGCCAATTCACAAGGGTGTGGACGGAGAGAATAGATGTACATTTAAGTTCCAGAAATACATGTCACACTCTCATGCAAAATTTCGCAATACTTGGAAATTAAGTAGGGAAATAGAAATACTTGATCTACACCGAACTGTATTTGCTTGTGGTGCGCTTGCATGAAATCGATTTAGCAGACCTGTTAAAAAGACTTTTGTGCTACACAAATACTTCCAGCGCCACACAACAGCAAGAATGAGATTCTAGTAATGCCGATTCCTATTTCTTTATTTTAGGTATTTGGACTGCATACATCACGTAGAAAGAGAAGAGTGATGTTTACAGTAAGTGGTATCTAGATTATTTCAAAGTAATCAAACTGCAGTTATGCCACAGCCCTCTAGAGGGTAGTATACTGTTACCTCTTGCACCATGTATGTTACAACTACCTCCGCAGATCTCAACCTACCCTTTAAATTAATCTTTAAAGAGTATTTAGTTTTCTGACTGGTAATTACCTTGCTGCCTAACATGCATGAAGCAATATGTGCCATGTGACGAAGTTCATAAGGAATTAAAATGGGCAGTATGGAGACAGCATCTAGGAAGAGACCCAGTTAGAGGGAATGAAGGATTTTCAGGAGAAGTCACTGGTGTGGGGCTAAGGAAGTTAAAAGAGAGCATGAGAGGGAATAAAGAACCCTCTTGTGTCTTAGTCAAAGTCTGAGGAAAAAACTGCGGATTTAGAGGGTGAGAATGTCTAGATAAATGGAATACAGCTGGCGCCTACCATGGAGAATTACGAAATTTGGGGGATATGTCCCCCGAAGCAATGTGTGTAATGATCAATTACTTAAATTATAGTAAAAGAAACACATAGTGATTGATTAGAGATATGCTTACTCACAAATTTGCAGAATTTTGGATTAGACACTGCACTTTTGTGAGACACCAACAATAAAACAGTAACAGAATTAATGCTAATCAGCAATAGCCCTCCCATATAGAACAAGAAAGAAGATTTTCAAAAACCTAATGAAGAAAATGTGACTAAGGAATCACACCCAGTGAGGGAAGAGCTTTAATTCCTTTATATGGATGACTCAACAAGCTCTGACAGTCAAACTTTACTAGTTTCATAATATATAGAATTGCAAGCATATAAAGAGCAAAGAATCAGCTATTTTTGATACACAACTCAAGAGGCACTTGGTTCCTCAGGCATTACACACAGAACGCATCAGGGTTGAGTCTGATCATCAGTGATGCAACGAACACTGAAACTGCTGTTTCAGCAACTGTTGCTGAACTTTATGACTTAGGCTTTTATTGACAGGAGTATAACCTAAGCTTCGGATAAAGAAGAATGTTTGGGTACTTATTCAAACTGTCAAATCCTTTTGCATTGACAGAAGTATTCTGAGATTCTCCTGTCAATATACAGAGGATCAAAATGAAGAACATCATTACTCTACTGAATCAGTCTAGGGCACATGGATGCCATGGGCCATATTTTGAGTACTGCAGGTAATTCTGGTGACCCTTTCTCAAAAAGAACATGATGTAGCTGGAAAAAAATTCAGAGAATATTGGAAAAGGTGTAGAAAAACTTCTGCAAGAGCGAAAGCTAAGTACACTAGACTGTTTCAGCCTTGGAAAGGACATATCATGTCCAAGAATATGCTAGCAGTCTGCAAAATCAGGAATGACATGAGGAAGGTGTTTCTAATTAAAGCTAGATGATGAAAGAGGGAGAAAATAAGCCATAATTTTGTAGATTTTTTCCATGATTCAATTTTGCTTTAAGTTCAAAATTTTGTTTCTCTCTTAAGGACTATTTCCCATACACTGATATCCCTTTCCTTCTGGAGTCAAAGCTAACACCTCTGTGTTCTTTCGAAGGCACTGGTAAAATCTACAAGGACATACCTTTAGGCAGCTGGATTCAAGCTCTGGGATTCAGCACCTCAAGTTTATCCCTCCTTGTATATTAAGCCTCTAAAGGCTAAGCACCTCTACAGAGAGCAGATAATATTCTAGTGGTAACAGTACACACCCCTACCTTTCCACTTCAACAATATATTCCTGACAAGACTTTCTATGTCTATAGGAACAAGAAAAAAAAAAGATATACAGATATATATAAAAAATCTATAAAGTAATAAACCTAAAAAAAACCCAAAAAACAAAAACAGAAGACTGCAATACTACTGCAGAATATGGCTCCACCCAGTGCGAAGCGGTACTCAGGCAAGTAGTTGCCTGAGTTTTCAGAGACACAGTGGGAGCAGGAAAGCTCTTTGTAGGAAGGAGACAAGCAAATAGGATGGCTACTTCCCCGGGTGTTCGAGAAGCAGAACGGCAGCAGCTACGTTCCAAGAGCAAAGCACCATAGAAAGATCTTCCCGTTCAGGACTGGAGTCTGAGGTCCTTTTCACAACCATGGGACACATACAAGCACACTGCCCTCTAATTCAAACACCTCTCCTCCCTCCATGCTTACTACGACGTGTAAGGCAAGCCAATCCCTTCTCACTTTTCTTTTGCTACGTTCATTGAGTTTGTTTCTCCTTCTGCAATAGAAAATCTCTTCCTAAAATAATTCTAGGTTGAATTCATCTTCCCTCAATGTGGATAAGTTGATTTTGGGCAGGTAATCCACAGGAGGTTCCACCAGCTCCTTGTGCTTCCTTTGTGCAAGCCAAGGGACTCTTCTGTAGGAGTTAACGATGCTTAACTGGAAACCAGAACATTAGTTCCTGTTCAGGGCTTTTCTCAGGTTCCTAGAAGGTTGGGCAGTACAGATGGAAAAAAGGTCTCATTGAACACCCCATATTTCATAGGCAGTGGAAAAAAATACAAAACTCTGTCTTATTCAAGTTTCCTGTCAGGAGATAATTCTCTCACTGTTGGGAAGCTCTCATCATCAATCGCAATTCACTGTAATGAGTTCGGGTAATGATTACATTTTTTCAGATTTAATCTTTGGCACTGTATCTTTTAATCAAATTGAATTTTTTTATTGCATTATACAGTTCTACAGTCTACTCTGAAAAATGGCTATTCTTAATATTAAATTGGAAATATTAAAATCTGAAATGTTAAAAATGTCTCTTATTACCTTCCTTCGAGCCCTTTTAAAACAGCTAAAGTAAAATCAATGTCTTTACTGGAAAAAAGATTACTATGCTCTCCCTTGTAGGGACTCTGGCTTTCACTCAGTTTTCTTCAACAAGAAAAATGACTGAAATCACCATTCTGTGCTTTCAGGAAAAAGCAAATACCAGCACGAGCTCCCCCAAGTACAGTCAATGATAGCACAATACGAAGAATGGTGTAAACTGCTCTTCGATAACAGAGATGGGAAGGTAGCTTTTAAAATGAGGAATATCTTTAGTAAATGAAAGAATATTTCCAAATACCTAATGCAAATTCTTGAGTTAACTAAAGAATAAAAAGCCTCTTGGATGCTGCTGGACTTAAGAATCATTGTCTGCTATCATAAAAGGAAGACAAAAAAGTGAAATACTGAAATTCGCCACATATAAGATTGAATGAGATAGATGACCTAGGTGGAGCCTTAATTACCTCCTATTACTAGAGATATATTGCCAGGATAAAAGAAGCAATGAGATATTACATTATCCAACAAAATATCTAACAAAGAGCCACCCACATAAAATTATAGTGCATGCTTTGTGTGAATCAACACAGACATACCTGCAGAGAAATGACTTACCCAAGACAAAATTTGCTTAGCACATCACTTTTGGCATGAGCACTAAAAGGCTGGCAAACTTCATGGGAAGCTGGACTGCCTTACAGGTGACACCCACCCAACAAGGTATAAATAGTGAGCAGCGAAGACAGAAAGGCTGCAGTCTGATTTTCTGTTTCTAGCTGTGCAGCGGGCTTTGGGGTTGGGGTTGGACACCTTACTGCTTTCACCATGAGCTGCAGCATCAAGAGAACGTCTAGTACTTCTTACAGAAGTGGTGGAGGTGCAGGCCTCTGCGGTGGCGGTAGCAGCAGGAGCTCCTCTGTCTCCGCCAGGCGATATGCCTCCTCTGTGATAGGCGGTGGAAGCTACGGTGGGGGAGCATGCAGCATTAGCTATGGAGGGCCCGTGTGTGCTGGCAGCCTTGCCGGTGGCTTTGGTGGTGGCCTGGGAGCAGGCTTTGGTGCTGGCCTGGGAGCAGGCTTTGGTGCTGGGGGGGATGTCATTCTGAGCGGCAATGAGAAGGTCACCATGCAGAACCTGAACGAACGCCTGGCTTCTTACCTGGACAAGGTGCGAAGACTGGAGGAAGAAAATGCTCAGCTCGAGCACTACATTCGGGAGTGGTACAGGAAACAAGCTCCCAGCGTTTCAAAGGACTACACCTCCTACTACCAGACCATTGAACAACTCCAGAATCAGGTAAGAGAGCCCTGACTGACCTGGCTCCATCTCTTCCACACAATTCTCATTTGCAAGGACTTCCTTCTTCCCCTTGGCAGTGGCTCTAAGAGGGTGGAGGGTGCTAGTGGACGGCCCTTGCGGGTGGCATCACTGGCAGAAACCGGTGGAGCCATGTCTCCCACCTCTGGGGTAAGCGAGCCCGCACACCAGTCCACAAGGGAAAGGGAAGTGCTCTGGGGCCACAGCGCAGGGGACTGAGGAGCAATCCCCCAGCCTAGGCCCAAACATGCTGGTGCATGTGACTGAAATCCCACGTTGCACTGGTGGCTCCAGTTCAGGGATGTGCGGTTTCCAGTCTTTCCCTCCGCTCCAATCCAGTTCAGCTGGATGGCGTGCAAAGCCACAGCACCTGGACTGCAAGATCTAAATTCCCTTTGTCTCCGCACACTCCTACGTATAGCAGCTGGAAGCACCAAGGCCTTCCCTCACAAAACCTTGCCTTGGTACCAAGAAATTACAGTAAACAGACCAAGACGAGGCAAGTTAACAGAGAAAGGGCAGAATACGTTCCCCAGCCACACCCTGGGAACCGTCTCCAACTTGAGCAACAAGAGCTTAGACTAGGTCTTTTGGAGGTGACTCTGTGATAACCTGAGTTTCCTCGGAAAGTACTTTTTGGAGAGTAACCCTCTCATGCGGTCCCTGCATCGCTGCAGGAAAGAACTCCCAAGACCTGCAAGAAAGCCCTACCAAAGCTTTGTATCTCCTTTCTTCCTCTTCTGGATGCACTGGGCACAAGGAAAATCCACTCCAACTTACTCTTTTGCAGATCATTTCTGCCACTGTGGACAACAACAAACTGCTGCTGGACATCGACAACAGCAAGATGACCGCTGATGACTTCCGAATGAAGTGAGTGCCTCCCTGTGAACCTTGCATGTCTTCCATGTCCTGCTCACGGAAGTCAGGAGACGAGGCACTGCCTCCAGCGGTGCGACCGAGCCCCCACCTTCTTCTACTGGCATACAGACATAGGAAGGGTGAGAGCTACTGACAACAGTTGTCAGCTCATCTCCCCGTTTCTCTGTCTCTCTTCTGTGTGGTACAGGTATGAGAATGAACTGGTCATTCGTCAAAGTGTGGAGGCTGACATTAATGGCTTGAGAAATCTCCTGGATGACCTGACTCTAGTTAGGTCTTCTCTGGAATCCGAGCTAGAGTCCCTGAAGGATGAGCTGATGGCTCTTAAGAGAAACCACGAGGAGGTAAGAGCCAATGATAAGTAGTATCTTCAAGAAATATTCTTCTGACCTTTCAGGATTCCCAAGTCAATCCAGACTTATGCCATGTGAATGTTACTCCGTTGTACCTCCGCACTGCTTGTCCCGCTCTCCCTAGTTGAAGAAGTGACCTGTATTCTTTGCTCCTCTCTTCACGCTCTCTGCAGGAGATGAGGCAGCTGCAGTCCCAAACCGGTGGCGACGTGAGCGTGGAGGTCAACGCTGCTCCTGGCGAAGATCTGACAAAGACGCTAAATGACCTGAGAAACGAATACGAGCAGATCATTGAGAGGAACCGCAGAGAGGTGGAACAGTGGTATGAAGTCAAGGTATGCAGCAATGCACAGAGTGCAGTCTCCCTCTGTGGAAAAACACAGAGACTCCGGTACCAGGCACGCAATACTGGGGAGGCGGCTCACCTGAACAGGAGTCCTTTGGCAGCCAGTGATCAGAAGAGGCTGCTGGGTGGAACACCAGCCTGCCCCTGTGCAGCTCGGGGAACTGCGAGGAAAAAGGTGTTGGGGAAGGCAGTGGCAGAGAGGGAGCAGGCCAGGCCAGGTCTGATGTACAAAGGTGGGTAGCAAGTCAGGATCTGAGGAGCAATTCATCTAGGCTGTCTTCCAGCAAGAGGGAATTAGAAGCAGAGGCACTGTGGTTACCTTAGTACTCAGCCAGCAGATCTGCTCCGTGAGGGGGTCTCCTCACTCAGAGGGTGTGTTTGGTATTTGACTCTGGCAGATTGAAGAAGTCAATCAGCAGGTCACCTCCAGCAGTCAGGACATCCAGACAAGCAGCCACCAGCTCACCGAACTGAGACGCGAAATGCAGAACCTGGAGATCGAACTGCAGGCACAGCTCAGCACGGTACGTGGGGCAGGATCATTGAGGGCCCTTTCCTCCTCTGAATGGGAAACTCCCTCCTTGCGCAGGGAGAGGTAGTGCTCTGGTCCTAAACTCCTGCATTTCCACTTTCAGAAAAACTCTCTGGAGAACTCCTTGGCAGAAACTGAATCTCGCTACGGCTGCCTGCTGCAACAAATCCAAGGCCAGATTAACTCTGTAGAGGAGGAGCTGGCCAGCATCCGGTGTGAGATGGAGAGTCAGAACCAAGAGTACAAGATGCTCCTGGGCATCAAGACCCGCCTGGAACAGGAGATTGCTCAGTACCGGGCACTGCTGCAGGAGGGACAGCAAGACATTGTGTATGTATTCTGTATTAGAGCAAGGCAATAAGAAGAACTCAACTGTTAATACAAACTTGGTGTGTGTGGAGCTACATCAAATCTTTTTCCACAGTATATCCAGTGGTTAGTTGTTTTTTGGTGAATTAATTCCTCTTCTTTCACAGTGCCTCTCAAGGAACTCTCCAAGGAGGTGGAAGGTCCTCCCACTCATATTCTTCTGCTTCCTACTCTCAATCCCAGTCTGGTGACGTGATAGGTAAGATGATATTTTGTATGGTGATGCTCATTAGTGGGTTGCACCTACTTTGATGACTACGATATATTTTGTCAGAAAGAAGTTTTGTATTTTGGGCTGGGGAAGATTCCCAGGTCAACTTAGCCCAGGAATGAGAGAATCTCACTGATTCTCTCATGCAGGAAGTAAGGGTTAAGACACAAAAGCCTTTTTCTGTCCTCTTCCTAAATGTAAAATGCAAGTAATAAGCCTTACAGGACTGGATATGCTAAAAAATACAGTTTTGATAAAGTTTCTAGGCTTGAAGGCATCTGAGCTTCTCCCACTGCTCTCTTGCTAACATGGCATGTCAGGTCAAAGAATCTGAAGAACTGACTTCTTCCTAAGATGATGATTTGTTCTGTCTTTACATAGGACAATCAAGAGTGTGTTAGAGCAACAGCATGATTCTGCTGGCATCCTCCAACTCAAACTCACTGAACTGACCCACGGACAAGCGCTTCTGCAGCATAGCTGGTGTAACTAGAGCAATTCTGAAGGCATGCCTGGTCACCTGCCTCATTACCCCCTTCTTCCATTCTGCAATGCACACATTCAACTTGTCTTTCTCAACTGGTTCTTTGTTCACGGACTTACATTCTGCTGATACATTGCCTCTAATAAAGCTTTACTTCTGTGATGCAAATAAAAAATGTGTCTGAGAATTAATTTCATTTAGCAAACTTTCAGCATGTGCCTATCTATCAGGCTCCTAATCAAATACATGTGGTCCTGTTATACTTTGTAACATACTCAGAAAAATCTATCTTGCATTAACAAAATGGACAATATGACTAAGTATTGTCACTGAGCTAAGGGAAATGTCACTAATCATAAGCACGGCTCTTGAAGGGAGAGAAGTGTGACATGTACCAAACTATGCCTACGGGGACTGCCAAAGAGTCAGATGAGATTGTCAGACCCTCTGTTTAAAAGCAAGAAGTATAAGTTTGAAAACAGAAAGCCATCCTTGAGACAATTTTGCTCATTCCTGTGCAATTACAAGGCATTTACCACCTTGTTTTCTAATGGCTACTCACGGGTTGCTTTCTAGCTTCTTGCCTTGGTGTATCAAGCTGTTTATTGCTAAATATACTCTAATGTGAGTGAAAGGAGAAAGAAAATGTCAATGATGGGTAACTCCTTGAAGATTATTTAATTATCTGTTAATGGACTAAATTATGCCCAGTGCCACTACTATGACTCATCTGAGTCCATTCATCTTTGACTTTGCTTAGCTCATCACAGCTAGGGTTCCTGTGGGGAGGTGTGACTCAGTACAGGCTGCACCAATATGTACAGGCTTCCTGATATCAAGTACTTCTGTAACTTTGACTGAGTAAAGAATTACATATTGCTAACTTCTGTTAGAAAATAGAGCCAATAATGTAATGTGCCTGCTTCCTTCAGTGTCAAGCACAGAAAATATTGCTTTCTGATAGACTTTTCAATTTAAATACTAATATAACCCCAAGAACCACATTTTTGTCAATATTATCAAATAGCTGATACCATGCCTTATGAGGAATCAGAGACATGTTTCACATGCTAAAAGTATTTTCCATATTTCATTTTTCTGGTTGTTTAAGAAGATAAAATTTGCAATAAAATACGAGAAGAGAGGATAATACTAAATTAGAACAGTTATCTTTTTACAAATTTTACTTTCTGTAGATCGCTGTAGACAGTGAAGCCACTTCGCAATTCATAATTGTGTGCTCAAGTATAACTCACAAAATTAGCCAGTTTTCATCCAACTGCAAGTGCCTGTTGTTCCCTCCTCATCTTACCAAACCTGATCTCCAGTATTTGCTGTTTCATTCAAGTCTGAGGGTATTGTTCTGTTAGAGTAATGAAATGAAAGGTTCTCTCATCATAAACAACTTAGAAGTGTATTATTTAAGTAAGTCAGGTTTTCTTTCTGTAATCACGTGGCTTGGCTTGGCCATCACAATATTGTAACTGTAATCTACAGTAAGCAAGTATCCACAAAGATGAGATACTCTCTATTCACCCTGAAAAAGTAGGTTTGCAAACTGACATTTTTCAGTCCAACAGAAGGAATTTCTATGAACAAAAGTCCTTCTCCAAAGAAAAAGCCCATTTCAGGTTTTAACAATCTGCAAAGTGACTGTAAAGAAAATACAAACCTAAGTTTCATCTCCAAGGGCTGCCAACATTCATTCAAGTCTCAGATATAGTAAACACAGCCAAAATAGTTTAAGAAGATATCTTTTTCAGGCAGGATTATGGAGACTTAAACTCCAGTTAGTGTATATAAATACATACTATAAGGTTATTTTGTTTCCTTCTAATCTTTCAGAAGCAGAGAGAAATATTAGAATCATTGAAAATACAGCCTCCGGCATCTAGAGAACTCAAGGGAACACAGGAGCAGCAGTATGCCTTTCTCCATTCCTGAACTAACTTCTAGGAGTGTAAGGACTTTGTGAAATAGATGGCACTATAAGGAGTCTTCAGTTAAATCTGCAAAACCAAAGCCATGCAAAATCTTCAGACTGAAAGGAGTGGAGGCACTGTGAAACTGCCAGGTAGTGCAGCGGTATTAGATCACTGCTGGAGTCCTGTCGATGACAGTACAACTTCTTTGGCGTATCACCATCGATCCATGAGGAACTAACCACCACCTAATCTAGCACAAGGACCATCCTGGGGAAAATCCATGGAACATGCCATAGTTGTGCCAAAAGCACAGCATATGTCACTGCCAACATCTGAGGTTGCAATATATTCTACCAGGTGTCTTGATACCATTGTCTGCTCCTGTCACTTACTTCACTTCATGTCTGTGATTCTTTACAAAAGGTGATACAGTTGCCAATTGTTCTGAAAAGTCCTACAAAAAGGCTCTGACAGTGAGGAGTATACAGGTCAATTAGTTAACACTGAAAGTGACAGCATGTTATAGTAGGTAGAGAGGAAGAGACAAGGAAAGGGTCACTGTATTAGAAGAGCTTCACTTACCTTGGCAATTATTCATAAAACAAATTTTTCTAAAAGGCAGAAAAGACTACTGGAATGAAAAGTATTGTGAAAAGTCAGGCCACATTTATGAAATTTTCAATAGATGTGAATTACAGGAACAGCAAGAAAGGTTGTTTCAAGAAAAGAGTAACAGAAATCGAACCTTTGGATGCTGCAAGTGTTCAAGATCAAAACTGTTTCTTTTGTAGGGTTTAATGCGTAAAACAATTTGACTTATTAACAATTCAGATAGACTGGAGAATTAGAACAGTTCACACTTAGCAAAATTTTCTACATGTCTACAGATGTGCAAGGTATAAGATTCCATCCCAGTGAATCATCTAAGAGAAAAAGAAGAACAGAATTCAGGGTTATGAAATCCATCCATCTGTAAATAAAATTAAAGAGAGTCACAGATGGATGATGCTGAACGGTGATGGGTGGAGGATGAGGAATGCACAGATGGAGTTCCTGATGAAGCTGATGGGAGTAGTACTCTTCTTACCAAGACCGAAAGTTGTCTCACTTACTGTAGAACAATTAATTACCACTAAATATTTCTGAGGTTCTCCTGTCCCTCTTGCGTGACTAAAGACACACACCCAGCAATGGTATCCTAGTTTCTGTGCAAACCACTGACTGCTTTTGATTTTTTTGCCAATTCAGAGCACCTGTTTGTGGCTCTGCATCCAGTTTCACCAGTGAGTAAACAGCGCTTGGAAAGGCTTCCTATCACTGTTACTTCAAAGAAACCTTTCTGATTCCATGTTATAGAGATTCATGGAGCGCATTGTAAGCCGAAAGTCTTCCAAGGGAAGATATGATTTCAAAGCTTTAACACGCTCTTCAAGAGCTGAACAGCCCCTTCACCCTCTACAACAGAAAGTGTCTCAACTTCTTCTGTCATTGCAAGGATTAGGAATGTTAATGGCACCTAGAGGGACCTGGCTTTCTTGGCTTGTAGAATAAATCTGTGTGTCTGTTCCAGAGGGACTCACAACAGCCATCTCAGGCCAAGGCACTGTGTCCACAAGACAGCGGACCAAAAATCCACAGGAGACATGGAAATGCCCACGAACGACAGAGGAGAAAGACTAAAAATGTCTTTGTGATACATTTAAAGCACTGAGCACAGTTAGATCAGCTGTTTAAAACTTTAAAAAAAGAGAGAAACAGAGAGACAAAGAAAAGGAATCTGCTGATGGTATGAAATTACAGCATTGGGAAATAGTTGGAATTGTTGGGTCAGGTGCTATGACGTAAAAAGGCCAAGAAGGACATAGAAAATCAACACCTCCAGCATTAATACCAATCAGCAATAAACAGCTCATAGGGAAGAATAAAGGAGCATTTCAACAATCTAATGAGGAAAATATGACTAAGGAATCACACCCCATGAGAAAATAATTTTTATTTTCTAATAATGATGACTCAGTTTCAATAAAATATGCAAAACAACTGGTTCTGATGAGCAGATAATTAGAGTGCTACTAATAAAAGAATATTCATAATTATTAGGATCAAAGTACTAAATTATCTTCTGCATATCTGAAAATATGTGTAGGGGGATGAAGAAAGAGGGTAAATGGCTTTCCATGATTCTTCAGTCAATTATAACACGAATTAGTGACTTTTATGGGGCTCATTATCGTCATGGCTGAGTGAAAACTTTGCTCCAGCCACAATTACAAGTCATACGTGAGTAAAATTACAAAATCAAAAAATTGACAAATAAATGAAATAATAGTAATTTTTAACTTCCAAAGAGGAGAATTCCCATCAAAGTGTAACTCTCACATAAAGAAGTCACTTGTTTTCTAGATTTAAAATTTATGTTTTCCAAGAGTTATTTAAAGGCAACATTACACTTCCAAACAAAGGTTCATCACATCATGTCCTCTTACAGAGTGCTGCAATTGTGCCACAGGACCTCTGCAGTGTTAGAGAGACAGAAGACAGAGCGGAAGGGGAGCTAAAGGGTCATCATAGCTGAGTCTTTGCTATATGAGCTTGAAATCCCAGCCATAAACCAATAATCTGAAAACCACTTCAACCTCTCCTCTCACAAGAGAGATTCAGTGTTGCCGTGTAGGTTCTACACATCTATTTCAATATAAAATAATCTTTGAGCAACCAGAATTCTACACAAAAATCCAAAAACCCCCATGACTTCAAACGATGACATCTTTGCATATCCATCACTTCATGCAAGATGTACAACGGTTTCCTAAAAGTGATACTACCAGAACTTTTTGTAAAGAGAAATACTATTGCTTGCTCAGATTACTCTATGAAGATTTATGATTAAGCATCACGAAAGACAATACCCACGATTAGCTTTCTCACTAGTATAGGACCTAAATCCTTAAGAGACCATGTTTCCAATACCAGAGGCTGGCTGTTCCGAGGCACGAAGAAACAACATTCACATATAGGGTGCATGAGTTCATATTTCTCAAACTCAGAAACAAAAGGAGGCAGAGTAACTAGCTGGTGCTTTAATCATCACTTTTCAGGACAAAAAATGACTACATGGATCAAGGGCGAAGCATAAAAATGAGTCTCACCCACTGAGTAGCCAGCAACATGCTATCTGAAAAAAAAATCTAACACACAGCCACCCACATAAAATTATAATGCATGCTTTGTGTGAATCAGCGTGCAAACACAATACCTATGGGGAGGGTTGTCCCAAATCCCAAAAGAAATTCCCCTTAGCACATCACTTTTGGCATGAGCACTAAGGCTGGCAAACTTCATGGGAAGCTGGACTGCCTTACAGGTGACACCCACCCAACAAGGTATAAATAGTGAGCAGCGAAGACAGAAAGGCTGCAGTCTGATTTTCTGTTTCTAGCTGTGCAGCGGGCTTTGGGGTTGGGGTTGGACACCTTACTGCTTTCACCATGAGCTGCAGCATCAAGAGAACGTCTAGTACTTCTTACAGAAGTGGTGGAGGTGCAGGCCTCTGCGGTGGCGGTAGCAGCAGGAGCTCCTCTGTCTCCGCCAGGCGATATGCCTCCTCTGTGATAGGCGGTGGAAGCTACGGTGGGGGAGCATGCAGCATTAGCTATGGAGGGCCCGTGTGTGCTGGCAGCCTTGCCGGTGGCTTTGGTGGTGGCCTGGGAGCAGGCTTTGGTGCTGGCCTGGGAGCAGGCTTTGGTGCTGGGGGGGATGTCATTCTGAGCGGCAATGAGAAGGTCACCATGCAGAACCTGAACGAACGCCTGGCTTCTTACCTGGACAAGGTGCGAAGACTGGAGGAAGAAAATGCTCAGCTCGAGCACTACATTCGGGAGTGGTACAGGAAACAAGCTCCCAGCGTTTCAAAGGACTACACCTCCTACTACCAGACCATTGAACAACTCCAGAATCAGGTAAGAGAGCCCTGACTGACCTGGCTCCATCTCTTCCACACAATTCTCATTTGCAAGGACTTCCTTCTTCCCCTTGGCAGTGGCTCTAAGAGGGTGGAGGGTGCTAGTGGACGGCCCTTGCGGGTGGCATCACTGGCAGAAACCGGTGGAGCCATGTCTCCCACCTCTGGGGTAAGCGAGCCCGCACACCAGTCCACAAGGGAAAGGGAAGTGCTCTGGGGCCACAGCGCAGGGGACTGAGGAGCAATCCCCCAGCCTAGGCCCAAACATGCTGGTGCATGTGACTGAAATCCCACGTTGCACTGGTGGCTCCAGTTCAGGGATGTGCG